AAAAAAGTGAGTGACTAACTGAAAAACTGTTGACTAACAGTACCTGCCTTGTGACTGTAATTTTATTTAAGGGGGACTTGTTTAGCAGCAATAATCAAGTTACCTGTTGTAGTTCCAGCTAAGTCTGTTCTTTCTTGTCAGACTGCGTTAAAATAAAGATCAGATTAAGTCTAATTTAAGTAACAGAGCCACAAACAGAGCAGTGCCTACAGTTAGCATCACACCCCCAGGGAATGTTGATGACATCAGCTGCAAAGAATTAATAAGTTCATTCTAAATAAGAATTAAAACAAACACAATAATAGATAGTGCTCTAAATAAAAGAAATACTCAAACTACTGAGGGTTCTATGTTCCTCCAGGGGTCGCCTGTGTACATGTACCACAGTTTGAGAAACACTGACCTAGAATATTATGGTTTCATGGAGTTTTAAAGTAGCCTGTACCTGATTTTTATTTAGTCTTGCTGAGTTAAAGGGCCCATAATACACTATTTTTGATCTTTCTTATAATGTTCCTCATCAAAAACCTGCAGATTTAGGCCGAGTTCTTCTCAAACTGAAAACACTCCACCTTGTGATGTCATGCGGTGATACAGGAAGCAGAGGTGGGACCAAGTCATTGTTTTGCAAGTCTCAAGTAAGTCTGAAGTCTTTGACCTCAAGTCCGAGTCAAGTCCCAAGTCAAATACAAGCAAGTCCAAGTCGAGTCTCAAGTCACTGGCCCATAAGTCCAAATCAAGTCCAAGTCGTCTGCTTTGAGCTTCAAGTCATTTCAAGTCTTTAAACCAGGGATGTCCAACCTTTTGCGTCCAGTGAGCGACCTTTACAAAATGCAAATGCCAGAGAGCTACTCATTTTAGTGGTCACAAGAAACTGAGTCGATATAAGAGGGCAAGCCTTAGTGTTGTACTGTTAGCTGCCTACAAAACCTAAAACCATTATGTGTTTATTAGAGCACAAAGCTCAAAATAACACATCTACAATGGTAATTAATCAAATTTGAGTTATTCAGTACAATACACAGAATTCAGTAATCCCTTGGCGTGCTATTTGGAAGGGGGTGGAGAGCTACTGGTAGCTCCTGAGCTACAGGTTGGAGACCCCTGCTTTAAACCAAAGTACCAAATATAGCTTAGATTTTTGAAATTTAAATTACTTTTAAGATAAATTGTACTCATAAAGTCATAGTATATTTATATATGAGTATTTATGGAGTATAGAAGAGTAGTAGAAATGCTATTTTGTTCCTTTTTAAATGTCTTGAGAAGATCCTTACAGTGAATCATTACAGTCAGAATAGAAAGAATTCAGATTTAAATGTGCTTCTCAACTCCTCTCAAGTCACTGACCTTCAAGTCCAAGTCGATTCCCAAGTCTTAGCCCATTTTATCAAGTCAAGTCTCTAGTCCCAAAAACAGTGACTCAAGTCCAACTCGAGTCCAGGTCATGACTTGCAAGTCCCCAGCTCTGACAGGAAGCGCTCCACTGTGTTTCTAAACTCCACACACCTTCACTAGAATCATTGGGATCACTTCAGCTTTGGAATTTCCAATCTTTACTGAACTAAATGTAAAAGGAGCTGTTCACTTGAAAACTACCACTACATGACATCACAAGGTGGAACATAGCATTTTTGAGCTTTGGAGATGTAGACAGACTAGTAAAAAAAAAACCAAAACACAACTCCAGGTGTGTTTTTGAGGAGGTAACAGCAATTATAACCTGGCTCAAAGCTCACAAGAGTCAACTTTATGTAATATACGACCTTTAAAATCCTATATGCTACTGTACAAAATAAACATGTTTAAAAGCCAAGGTTGATGTATGTCCGTCATGCTAGTAAAATTCCACGAGTCATTTTATTTTCCCTGGATATTCCACAAAGATCACAGCGACATGAACTTGGCCACTTCACTGGACGTTGTGAAAATAGCACACGTTGGAGCCAGGTATTTCGCTAATAATTACCCACCATTACAATTGTACGTGCATCCAAGCGCAGCCTACCGTTATCCTGCCACTGATTAGCGCTTTTAACCAACAATACGACGTTAGCTCCTCTCGCCGTGCCCTTCGACCTTGCGTTTGTGTTGATACAGGATTAGCTTCTAGCGCTGGAAGTCATTTGAGGGTTATTTAATGATTAGCCGTGGGTGTGTGGCGCTTTGAGCTGTTCAAGGGGATGTGACTCTGTCTGTGTGCGTAAAAAGGATAAAGGACATTGTTGTGATGGGGCCAGACAGGAAATGTTGGTGATCTTTTCATCTTGTCTAATCATAGCTTTTAGAAAAAGGTTTGTGTGTTAAACATGTGTGGGCTGCAGTGGCTCTTTAGGGTAAAGTGTTTACAGTGTGTGATATATGGACGCCAATGCCAAGGTCACACGTTCATATAGACTACATTGTGTTACATTGTGTTGCTGTGGGAAATGGAGAATATACTGTAAATAGAGACGACCTCACAGTGAACTCTGGAAATTATAAAAGAAATAATGTTGTTTTAAACTTTAAACAAGTACAGGTTCAGCTTGGACTTGGACATAAGCACTTACAAGAACTTACAGTACAGGCTGCAAAGTAATGGTCCAACTACTACTACTACTACTACTACTACTACTACTGCTAGTACTATTACTACAACTAATACAACTGTAAGCAGTTATAAGAACTTACAGTACAGGCTGCAAAGTAATGGTCCAAGAAAAGTAGCCCACTGGAAAAAGTACCACTCAAATACGAGTAAAATAAATACTACTACTACTACTACTACTACTACTAACTACTACTACTACTACTACTACTACTACTATTGCAAGCAGTTAAAAGAACTTACAGTACACGCTGCAAAGTAGTGGTCCAAGGAAAGTAGCCTACCACTCAAGTGAAAGTAAAATAAATACTACTATTACTACTACTACTACTACTACTACTACTACTACTGCTACTACTACAACTATTACTGCTACTACTGTAAGCAGTTACAAGAACTTACAGTACAGGCTACAAATTAGTGGTCCAAGAAAAGTAGTCTATTGGAAAAAGTGCCACTCAAAGGCGAGTAAAATAAATACTACTACTACTACTCCTACTCCTACTCCTACTGTAAGCAGTTACAAGAACTTACAGTACACGCTGCTAAGTAGTGGTCCAAGAAAAGTAGCCTATTTGGCAAAAGTACCACTCAAGTGCGAGTAAAAACAACAACAACAACTACTACTACTACTACTAATAATAATAATAATGCACAAACTCTGGTATTTTCAGGGGACAGACACAAAAAAGAGAAAAAAACTAAATCATATCTGAGGGAGCGGTGCAAGAAACACAAATGTTCAAATGATTTCATACTGTCAAAGCTTTTGTCACTTGTACACTTACTTACAGGGCAAAGAGTGGAGAAAAAAAGAAAAAAGAATGGGAAAAATTATTACTCAAGCAGGAGTGCCAGGATGCTGCTAGAAAAGTACTCTGAAAAGTACAACTTCTGTCAACCTCTGTACAGACTACACGCATGTATAAAAATGTTTTGAAGGATGTTTAAAAGTTCAAATTCAAATATACATAGTTTAAAGATACAGAAATTCACAGGAGGGTCTATTTAGTAATTGCTGTTAGTAAAATATTTATAAAACTGGGCTGGCCATGGGACTCTGATTCAGACTTGGTTTTAGATGATAATGACTTAAATCCAACTTTATTTGAACAAACCACACCGCCTTTCGTCTGTGATCTGATCTGGGCCGCTGACATGGGGTGGGCCTGGTTAGTACTTGAATGGGAGACTGTTGTGATATCAGGTGCCATAGTAGAGCAGAAGTAGCTCTAATGCAAACTGCTGTTGTGCCCTTCAGCAAGGCACTTCACCAACCTTACCTCTTGTGAATGTGGCTAGAATCTTACTCTCAACAAGTATGAAACAAACCAATAATATACTGAACTGTAAAGCACCTCTGAGTATCTGGAAAATGTATTGAGTAGTAGTAGTAGTAGGTAGTAGTAGTAGTAGTAGCAGGAGTAGTAGTAGTAGTAGTAGTAGTAGTAGTAGCAGGAGTAATAGTACTAGTAGTAGTACCAGAATCAGTGGCAGTAGTTGTAGTAGTATCAGAAGCAGCAGTAGTAGTAGTACTAATAGTAGTAGTAGTAGTAGTAGCAGTAGTAGCAGCAGCAGCAGCAGCAGTAGTAGTGGTAGTAGATGCAGTAGTAGTAGTAGTAGTAGTAGTAGTAGTAGTAGTAGTAGTAGTAGCAGTAATTGTTGTTGTAATAGCAGAAATAGCAGCAGCAGTAGTAGTTGTTGCAGTAGTAGTAGTAGTAGTAGTAGTAGCAGCAGCAGCAGTAGTAGTAGTAGTAGTAGTAGCAGCAGCAGTAGTAGTAGTAATTGTTGTTGTAATAGCAGAAATAGCAATAGTAGTAGTAGCAGTAGTAGTAGCACCAGAAACAGCAGTAGCAGTAGTAGTAGTAATAGTTGTAGTAGTAGTAGTTGCAGCAGCAGCAGCAGTTGTAGTAGTAGTAGTAGTAGTAGTAGTAGTAGTAGTATCAGTAATAGTAGCAGCAGCAGCAGTAGTAAACTGAGCAGTATATTTTGATGCTTTGCAGTTTTATGTCAAGACGTCATCCTGGATAGGTAAATAAAAACCCACATACCAATAACACAGTACAAAGTTTATCAAAGTTTACAAAAATACATCTCCATTGTGACTACACACACAAAGGCAGTGAGTGTGTATGTGCGCGCAGCAGACAACACACTCAACCGTTTGATTACAATGCAAAAAAAAAAAAAAAAAAAAAAGAACAACATCAGAAAAACTTGACAATGACTTTTTGCACCCCGCCCTGGTAAAGAATCCCGCTTGTGGTTAGTGGTGACAAACAGACGGCTCTACACTGTTCCCGTTTTATGTAACACTCTGAGAATTCACTCTCATTCAAAAGATATAATAACAGGCTTTCAGTTGTTAATCACCGGGGCAACTAGGCTTGTCAAAAGTAATGAAAATCAGATACTAGTATACACCCATGGACCACTATGAAACCTACATGGACCACTGAGGGAGTACACACATATAAGTAAAAGTACAAGTATAAAGAAAAGTACTATGATTTAAGATGTTTGTGTAATCCCTCAGTCTTCCAGATAGGGTCCATAGCAAATGAGAAATTCAATTCTGTCAACTAGACAAAAAAAAAGAGAAAGAGGAAATGATATTCTATTGCCTAAAGAAAGTATCAGAACTGAGTATTTGTGAATTTGTGTATCATTCGTTCATTCGTTTTTCAGTATAAAACCAAAAATAAGAAAACGAAAAAACAACAAGTTTTCGATATTGTGTTTAAATGAATAATGGAAAAATGGATAACGGACTGAACCAGGACTGAACCAGGACTGAACCAGGTCCGGGACCAGACCGGAACCAGACCGGGACTGAGATCAGGACTTAGACCGGGACCAGAACAGGACTGAGTCCGGGACCAGGACCAGGACTGAGACCGGAACTGAGACCGGGACCAGACCAGAACTGAGACCGGGACTGAGACCGGGACTGAGACCAGGACTGAGACCGGGACTGAGACCTGGACTGAGACCGGGACTGAGACCGGGACTGAGAGTGGGACTGAGACCAGGACCAGACCAGGAGTGAGACCGGGACCAGACTGGGACCAGACCGGGACTGAGACCGGGACCGGACCGGGACCAGACCGGGACTAAGACTGGGACCAGACCAGGACTAAAAACGGTTTAGTCCTGGTTTAGTCCAGGTTTAGTCCTGGTTTAGTCCAGGACTGAACCCGAACTGAACCAGGACCAGGGCTTTCCATTTTCCACAATTCCAACACAAAATCAAAAACTGAAAAAATGAATCATCATCTGTTTTTTCATTTTAGTTTAGGAGACAAATAATGAAGAAAACAGTTGTTTTTTCATTTTCTTATTTTTGGTTTTATATTGAAAAATTATTGAATGAATGATACACGGATTAGTGTGGATGGGAAGGTTTAGTTTTTGTATTATTTTTCTGCCTAGTTTTGTTTGTGTTACATTAATATTCTTGAAATTGAAATTTGAATATCGTGACAACAGCTTTTCGTCATTGTGAAATCCATGGATGTAAAACGGTTGTAGGCTCATTGCTTAGGCCACTGGCTGGGCCCGGGGCTCTCTCCCTCTCTCAGCAGGTTATTATCCACGTCGTCATCAGGCCCGTAGAGCAGAATGTCTTTCCTGGCGCTCAGGCTGGGCGAGCGGGGGGCCAGGATCAGGTCGTAGATAAAGGCCGCAGCGATCCCCCCGCACATGGGCCCCAGCCAGTACACCTGCCACACAGATACCACCAGTTAACATCACTCTCATTTAGTCACTTTTTGGTTTTTTGAAAGGTCTATCAAATCAAATGTGTTTCTCCATGGAAATGTTATTGCTTTGTCTAGAATATTTCGCAGTAGAATGCCTGTTTTTCGAGGTATTTTCTAGGTATTTTTGAAGTATAAACCACCTTTAATTAAATAAGTGTAAAGTAGAGTATCTTGCAGCTATTTTTGGTTTTCCTCTGGTGAACTTTGGCCAGTCCTGGAAAAGTTTAATCCTGGTTTTGGAGGTGTTTAATTCCAGTTTAGTTAATGGTTTAGCAAAGGTGGATAGACAAGACTGCTTTTAGTGTTTACAAAGTTTAAAGATGCACCATGTAACTTTTCTGGAGGAGGGTCCACCACCTGCTTGTCTCCATTGAAATGAATGTCCTGGTATGGTGTTAAATTATTCATTTTATCATTACATGTTTTTTATTGACCTAAAAACTTGCTTTCTTACTGTGAGTGGGTTCACCTCTCCGCCAGTCTGTACCTATGTAACTTGATTGTCGCCATAGAGACACACTTTGGAACTAAAAAGTTACATAATTTTTAAGTTACATACATAAAAGTTGCATAATCTTTAAGTCAACAGGTGGTGGTTTACATCTGGAGGAACAGAAGAGTCATTTTATTATTTATATATTTGGCCTTCCCATATATACAAGGGATAATGGCTCGACTAACTCTTGCTCAGTACTCTGAATTTGTCAAACCATTTTTGAGTATCCTATTTGTATAAAGCTCCACTGTGTAACTTCTCAACCAAAAATAGAGACTAAAATAAAAGTCTGTATTTTCCTTTTTGGAAGTTTTTCTTGCTCTGGAAAATGTAATCGGTCCATGATCATAATCTGTAATCATACTGTGAGTGGGCTCGCAGCTCCACAGATCTGACCTAGAGCTTGATCTTTAAAGCTGCACTGCACAACTTTTCTGGTGGAGAGTCTGTCACCTGCCTGTCGCCATGGAGATGTTGTTGCTTTGTCTAAAATGTTCAACAATAGAGATTAAACCCATTTATCTCAAGGGAAATAATTATAGGCTACATTACAGGTCAGATCTGTGGAGAGGCGACCCTATTCAAGGAGAGAATTATTGTAATTTTGAGCAACAGAAACACCTGTAATGAATAAATCAGGGGGGTCAAACTCAAATTCAGAGAGGCCAAAATTAAAAACTGGGAAAAGTCGTGGGCCAAACAAAATATTTATTGAAAAATTTCAACAACATCTGCATGTTTTCTCTTCTTTCAAGATTTGTCAAACTATTTCTTATTAAAATAAATGTTTAATAATAGTTTTGCTTAAACATTGAATCCAGAACAAGCAGAATATAAAATAATAAATAATGTGTCTATAGTCTATCTGTAGCCGGCAGGCTAGCTCAGCTCTAACACATATTTGATATGATCTCATAGACCAAATATAATTACGTCACAGGCCAAATTTGGCCCCCGGGCCTGAGTTCAACATGTCTGGAATAAATGATAGATTGAGGTGTTTTAATGTCATACCATGGAACATTCTGGACAAAGTAATAACATATCTATGGAGAAAAGCATTCACCAGAAAAGTTACACAGTGCACCTTTAAGCAGTAGTTTATAAAAATGTTGCTGTACACAGTTTTTTTTCCAACATATCGGATAAGATGTCTAAAACTTTTTCCTGCTCTTTCACTTAATTATTGTGAAAGTCTAGTATTATTACAATATTTAGCTTCATATTTTTCTGTATAATGACTTTTGCTTTCATATCTCATCAGGAATATTCCATTACCCAGTGGTACTTCATTTGGTTGCGTATGATCGCCGGGCCAAAGGAGCGCGCCGGGTTGATGCCACATCCGGTGTAACTGATCTGCAGGGATACCAGAGAATTACATTAGCATTAGCATTAGCATGGCATGGAAAGTGATCTGGGTTTAGCGGCCGTCGGCGCGTCCAGACCACACAAGTGATGAGAGGCCTAATGTGGGCTCATTTCAACAGCATCCAAGCATGAGATGAAAAGGGCTGGCACTGGAAACTACCTCTGTGCTAAAAAGACATAGGATCTGCAGCTCTCAACAGTCTCTAAATGGAGCTTCCTGTTAAAGCAGAGGTATGAAAATAGAGCCAGGCCATTGTGTTACTTCTCATAGACCAAAAGTTTCAACAGGAGAATCAGTATTTTTTGGTTAATACGCAGTGTACTACAAGTAATAGTACATTTTACACCTGCAAATTCAGTGTTTTATATTATACAGAGTTTTTAAAGTTTCAGTCTCAATTTCATTTCTCTCCAGTGACTAGGTTAGGAATCAGAATTCACTAGATGTGTTGCAAGAACCCCGGAAGTGCGAAGTCCGGGCACCAGCCAATCAGCGAAGAGCCAGACATTATGTGTTGGCAACGATTCCCGAGATCGTGGGTTTAAAGCGCCCTCTCATGCAAAATCAACTTTTCAGAGCTTTTTACCTTCTAAGAGTGATGTGTGGGCCTTGTATATGTCGCCGAAGTGGTTTTTAGATTGATTCAGCTTTTTTTTTTTACTAATTGCAGTGTATTTCTGCCACCCTCCCACGTGACAATGAACTAAAGCTGCTACAACGATGACACGGCAGCTACACCTATGACGTGTTTGATGTAGCAGAAAGCGCTTCGCACTCGCCCTTCTCCCCCGCTCCACCGCCTCCACCCTGCATCGGCTGACAATTCCCACATGAACACCTAAACAAAAGTGACAGCATGAGCTCATTGTTCTACTCTGCAGTGTACACGATATAATAAGTTGATCTACTAGTGTTTATTAATACTTTACCAATCAGTAATGTTCAGCTGATGTCGACGCGGTGCTTGAGCTTCGTGCTCCTCAAAGTCCTCGTCAGATTCCGGGTCCAACACATGCAGCTGAACACGCTGTATCTCCATGATGAATAAAAGTTTATTCCTACCACTATCAGGGTGCACATCTGTCTCCCCCTCCCTCCCTGAGATGGGTGGAGGAAGGGCGGCTCACTCGTCGCCTACGTCACGTTTGGAGGGCGGAGAGGGGGTTTCTCAGGACGGGCGGGGGGATGAACAATAGTCATATAGTTCCTGGTGGTCTGTGACTCCAAGAAATCAGTAAGATTTCAGAACTATTGTGTAATGGATGTTCCAAAACCCAAATTGTGTTTGTGTTTGTGCAGAAGATACAATGTGAAAAGAGTTATTTTGCATGAGATAGGCCCTTTAAAGCCAGAACAAAGAGAATGTTTGGTGAATTTTATCAAGAGGAAGACGTTATTGCCCTTCTTCCTAAGGGATTTAGCGCATTACATATGTCATGACCAAAAGTACCTGCCTACCGTCAAGCGAACGAATCCTAATGCTACAAGGTCAGATGGTTTCCACAAAGTGAAACCAGCTGATGAATCAGGCTAGTATTTGCCAAGAAGTATGAATAGATTAATGAGTTTTTCAGTTTTTACATTTTGATGTGTAATGGATATTAGTTAAACGTTATCTATTGACTTGAAAACTACCACTTCATGACATCACAAGAGTCCATTTGGAATAATATAATGCAATATTTAACTACATAGACCCGGGTCATGACTTCAGAATGATATCAGATGAGCTACAAACAAGAAGTGGTGAATTTTTCAAGGGGAAAGATGTTATTGTCCTTCTTCCTACGGGATTTGGGAAAAGCTTAATATACCAGTTAGCCCCGTTAGCGACGCATTACATACATCACGACCAAATAACAGTGATTGCACTGCAAAAACAAAATCTAGTCAAGTTAAGATGACTCATATTAAGAAAATTTTATCATGATTTGAGTAAATTTCACTAAAATGATCTGCGAGTGGAACACGATTTTTTATACTGAAAATATGAAACTACATCTTGCTACAGTTAAAATAAGAAAAGCAATAACTGTTTGCACTTATAAGAAGCAAAATCAAATTTTGCTTGAATTAAGAAAAACACACTTATTCCACTGGTAGATACTTTTACTTGTCAAGTTGAATTCACTCAAATAAAGTCAAATGTTCTTATTTGAATTCATTTTAATTTAACTAGATATAGGTTTTTTTTCCAGGATGGTTAATAAAAAAAAGTACCCTACTACCGTCGAGTGAACAAATTCTAATGCTGTGAAGTCACACGGTTTCCGCGAAGTAAAACCGGCTGATGAATCAGGTTACCATTCAAGGGAAGTTAAGCTGCATGATGAAACACAACCGTGGGGCCCCTTTCCTTTAAACCTCTGTCATAAAAGCATTTCCATCTAGTTAGTGTTCCCCTGAAATGCGTAGTAAAGCTGCTTCTATACATTCCCCGGTACATGTTGCAATACACAATGCAAAATGCTGACTCAATATCTATTTAACAGAGAGTGGGGGTTACGTGCACACTCTAAACCAGATTATTATACTTTGAGTTGAGAAATTTGAGTTATTACAGCAAAATTATCTAATTTCTTTCACATCTTAAATCTGAAATAAAGGCCAAAACTCACATTTTCTTCATAGCCTATAACCCCAAGTAATGACTGCTTCTTTACTACTTGTTTTGTCTGTTACACTATTGTGAAGCACCTTTGAGTTACAGTGAAAAAAAACAACATAAAACCAGTTCATTATTATTATTATGAAATGTCCAGAGATCAGATTCTAATTGGATTTTGTTGCACGTGTGAACAGAGCCACAGTTTATCCAGATCTCTCACTAAACACAATTTCAGACGTCCTAAAGGTTTGATTTTTTGTTATTATCATTCAGTGTTTGGAGGGTCTTACCGCGACGAGGTGCCCCAGAGTGACGGACAGCCCGATGGCGAGCGGAGCTGACCCCTGCACATCAGAGCGTCTCTTATCAGTGACGGCGATGACACACAGAACCAGCTGCAGAGTGGCAAAGAACTCGATGGCAAAACCCTGGCCCAGAGATATATCACCCAACTGGAAAACACAAGGGACAAGATTAGACTTTTCAACTAGCTCTGTGTAGAGTTCTTGAAAAGTTAATATAAAAGTATATATAAGAACAACATTTACACTGTGCATTTATATAATACAATATCAAAAATGGAATTGGCTTCGTTACTTTCAACTCATCGAATTATTTGAAACTTTTTGTGTCAAACCGAGTACAGTGTTGTGGTTAAAAGTGACCAGCAAACTCATTTAACATTTAAATTATATTATAATGTTATTTTTACTTAAAATAAACATTGCTCTTTAGTTTAACAGTACACCTTTAAATCAGTTATAAAATACATAATGTAAAAAATGAATTGAATTCTTTTTGTCTATATATTAAATAAAATTTGCATTTTGACTCACTTTATAGACTGTAACTACATTTTTATATTCTAATGAGTGGTGAGCTCCTCTTGAACATTCTTAAAATCATTATTTGCTATAACTAACCGAAAATACATTTCATTTCTTCATCATCTCCTCACTAATCTCTCCACAGAACTGCATGAAATCACTGTCCCTATCAAATATAAATAAATACAAATACAATAAAATGAAATTAAATAGATATATACTAGTAATGTGGTATATAACATTTCTAAGAATTCTCAAACCAACCCCCACTCACCTCGTTGACCCCGAGTCCAATCTGCCGAGGCCTGAATCCGTTGAGCAGGGCACTGGCCGCCACCGCCCCGAGCATCTGAGCAACAGTGTAACAGAGGAAGCGCAGGAAGCTGATCTGACAGCTCACCAGCAGACCGATGCTGACCGCCGGGTTCAGATGGGCCCCGCTCACGTGCCCCAAGCTCTGAGCCAGGGTCGCGATGGCCAAACCGAACGCCAGAGACACCTTCACCTCCTGGGAGTCTTTGGACGGGTTCCCTATGGCAGAACCGATGCCGAAAAAGATGAAGAGGAGCATGCCGATGAACTCTGCGGCCACAGCGCGCCAGAACGCCCCGCTCTTTAGTTCCCTCATGGTGGTGAAGAGTGAAGAGTGTCTGTGTGTGTTCAGCAGCTTGAGTTTTATGCTTCAGAAGATGGTGTGAAAAATGGAGGGTGATGCGCACGCAAGTTTCACACATTCAACGGTCACATTGTAGTTTATGCACTGGCTTGTCCCATGTCATTATTAAAGGACTTTTATTATAATTCCAACTAAGAGCCTTGGACTTTTTGACCACTTTTTACTCTATCGCAGTAATTTTTTATACTTCAAGCTCGGTCATCTTCACTGTCTGTAGCTTTTTGAGTCCTTGAGGAGCACCTGTTCTGGATTTTGAACTAAGATACTGAAGCTCTCTGAAGCTCCCACTGTGTTTTTGTTTTGTTTAATATACATTTATTGAAACAACCGCAAGCACAGCCAAACTTTTACTTTATCTTAGACTTCTTAGACTTCTTTCACTGATTCAAAAGGGAAATGATTTGAACACAGTAGCTCACACATCACAATATATTATAATAACAAAGACCAAAAAAATAAATGGTAATAATAAATTCAATAAGAAGCAAACATAAAGAGAGTGGTGAACAATAAGGCATAATTATATAAATGTATAGGTTCTAAGAGATCTTGTAAGGGCTTAAAATGACACGTGCACAGCAAGTCACAGCAACAAATGTGGAAGTATTTATGCAGAAGTGAATTTTGACACTAAATTTATTTCCCAGTCTATTTTGGTTAACTATTAGTGGTTTTCCGATTGGAGAATGTGATGCTGTCACACTGCACAAAATTCCCTATTGATTATATTGCACTTTAATATGAAACATCTAAAAGGTGATTTAACAAATGTTTAACCTCGATTATTGATTAGACTCAAGAAGTCACTGTGTTAGAACCAAAATCTACATTTGAACAGTATTCATTTTAGCTGCTCTCATCTGTATTAAATATTATTGGCCTATAGAATTTTGTGATGTCATCTGAAACCAGCAGTACAACGCAGATCAAGACTGCATGTGATAGTCTGGATAGAGGAACAGAGTCGAGATGAGGGGAAAATTTGAAAAATATTTACAAAAGGGTACAAAGTTAAAAACAGGCATGGCAAAACCTGCACTTACACACAGCACCTTTTTTTCCAACAAAGGTGAGGCTGGCTCCTTTTATTAAGGTTTTGCGTCTATGTCACAAAAGCACGTGACCTGGTGTTTATGCCGCCATGTTGGACGTCAAACTATCCATCTGGAACAACGTGTAGTATTTGTGTGCGATAAAATTTGAACTGAATAACAACGGTTTTGACCTGTGTTGCTATTGGATGTTTTGGCCGGAGTCAATCTGCTAAAGAAGGAGGCCAAAGTATCGTTCTATCGGATCCCGATAAAAAAAGAGGGATGGAGCCACCGAGTGCAGTCGTCTGTACAGTCAACATTTCATTTCAGGTGAGGGACCATCTCCACACAACAAAGAACAACAAAGAAGGGATTTACAGTAAATGAAATGATATACCGTATTTTCCGGGCTATTAGACGCACTCTTAAGTCTCCAGCTCCATCAAAAAACAACTGCGTGCCCCGCAATCCAGAGCGCCCTATACACGAATCCACTCGGGTGTCCCAGCACGACTTCAGTGAACTACAAAGCCGCACCACCCGCAGCGCACACAAACACACACGAAGCAGACAGCGACCGCACAGCGAAACACTCATCAATCCACGCCGACGAGGAACGGAATGGAGGAACGAACCGAAAAAGCGAGTGCAATGTGCCACTTCTAGACACAACTGAACAACTGAGTCACTGCGAACACGCCGACAATCCAGTGGTCCCAGACAGCACCTCCCTACACGCCACAACTGAACAAAGCCCAGAGTCACCGTGAACGAACAAACAAACAAAACCACTCACCCATCACACTGTTGTGTTTCCTTTAAAGTCCGGTGTGTTTTATTTGTGAAAAAAGTTCAAAAATAGACCATTTAATGACAATGCGCCTTATAATGCAGAGCACCTAACAGCCCGAAAAATACGGTATACCAAAACTATTTTTCTCGTCGGTGTACCGGCGCGGAATCCACCCCCACTCACCCACCGTCCTCACTTTCGCCGGCAAGGAATCCTCCCCCCACCCACCCTGGCCCTCTATTTCCACTGTCCCGGGGTCGCGCCGGCTCTGATTTTGACCCCCATTCTACTCACCCTGGCTGTTATCAGGAACAAACGTGATGGCTTGGTGATCAACAAAGATCTCATCCTGCTACAAAATATTTATAAGCTTCTAACTCCGTGTAGCTTTTCAGTTCTTAGTTGGTGTAGGACGATGTCGAATGAATGAAGTTGTTGTAAATAACTGAATACTAAAGGTCGAGCACAGAGCGAGCGTTGATTACACTGACAAAGCTAGGGTGACCATATTTCCGTTTGTGAAAACCCGGACACCTTACGGGGGGTGGGAGGTGGGGCCTCGACATTGAGCTACTCTCACCTCGCCACCTGTGCACATGGCCTCCCACTTGTCCCGACCGAGACAGAAACCGGAGAACTTCTTGTCCAAGTCATTGTTAAATGTGCATTTGCGCTTCGGCATGTTGCAAACTGACTGACTGTGTCTGCTCGCTCCTTCTGAGTGCACAGAGAGCTACAAGAGCCGCTCAATTCAATGTCCCCAATGAACCGTAATGAAAACCTGGACTTTTCCATCACTTAAAAAAAACAAACCCGGACGCCCAGGACAGGACGCAAAATACGGACATGTCCAGGGAAAAACGGATGTTTGGTCACCCTAGACAAAGTGCTCCATCGGAATTAGATCGGGATCTATTCCACAACCCAGGAGGACGACTTCAGCTTTATACCTCTCTGATGACGGCTGATCTAACGAGCTGGTGATTTTGGACAGTTTTATGTCGTTTGCGCTGTTTAAAGTCGCCATGATTAGACTGAAATAAACTGAATAATTCCAATCTTGACCTCCAGCATGGACGCCAAAACATTAAATTACATGACTGCCACGACACACGCAAATCCTTAATAGGCCACCTCCTCTAACTGGATGAGCTCATCTGTTCAAACAATTTACATCCAATATTTAAAAAGTTTGATATCAAAAACAGTGCACTAGATATTCAATTACATCAAGTACAAAAACATATCTCTTTATGAAATTAGCAGTGTTTAGTATTTTTAAATGAATAACAAAATAGAAAAGTTAAAAATATCTGTGCTCACCTCCTCTTAATAAAATGGTTGCCTGCCCCGGAACCTTCTTAAGGTGCTCCGGCTGCCAGGGGACTCTTTTGGCCGGAACACGTGAGGGAGACAACAAAAGTAGGTAAGTACAATTCATTTCCCACAATGACTTAAATGAAATAAACTTATTTTACTCCTTTCATTTTCTTTTACAGATCACCTTACTGCACAACAATTTTCCAATCAATATTCAATAAACATTTTAAAACTTTGCTTGCTTCCATCATGACTATCACCTGTTAGCTGGCACAAAGCTTCTGTAAAAGACTAGCTACCAGTGTTGGGAAGGTTACTTTAAAAATGTAATCCCCTACAGATTACAGATTACATATCCCAAAATGTAGTTTGTAACATAATCCATTAAATTACTTAAAGTGAGTAACGTAATCTGAATACTTTGGATTACTTGATTTGCTGTAGAGAAGCAAAGACGAGCAAATCGTTACATAAGATGTTTTGTCTGTTAAAAGAAAATAAAAAGCCCAGACTTTACTGAACCGTATTAAAAATATTATTGATAGAAGAGGAGGAGACACATCCACGCAACATGGTTTAGTCCTGTTTTAGTCCTGGTTTTTGGTCCTGGTTTAGTCCTGGTTTGGTCCTGTTTTAGTCCTGGTTTAGACCTGGTTTAGATCTAGTTTAGACCTGCTTTTAGTCCTGTTTTAGTCCTGTTTTAGTCCTGTTTTAGTCCTGGTTTAGTCCTGTTTTGGTCCTGGTTTAGTCCAGTTTTAGTCCTGTTTTAGTCCTGGTTTAGTCCTAGTATAGTCCTGTTTTAGTCCTGTTTTGGTCCTGGTTTAGTCCTGGTATAGTCCTGTTTCCTGGTCCTGGTTTAGTCCTGGTTTTAGTCCTGGTTTAGTCCTGTTTTAGACCTGGTTTAGACCTGGTTTAGATCTAGTTTAGATCTAGTTTAGACCTGCTTTTAGTCCTGTTTTAGTCCTGTTTTGGTCCGGGTTTAGTCCTGGTATAGTCCTGTTTTAGTCCTGTTTTGGTCCTGTTTTGGTCCTGGTTTAGTCGTGGTTTTAGACCGGTTTTAGACCTGGTTTAGACCTGGTTTAGATCGAGTTTAGATCTAGTTTAGACCTGCTTTTAGTCCTGTTTTAGTCCTGGTATAGTCCTGTTTTAGTCCTGTTTTAGTCTGGTTTTAGTCCTGGTTATAGACCTGGTTTAGTCCTGGTTTTAGTCCTGGTTTTAGACCTAGTTTAGACCTGGTTTAGTTTCCAGGAATGAGTGGAATTACCAGGAAAAAAAAAAAAGGGGGAGGGGGTAAAGCCCAAAATGTGAAAACAGGAAAATCCCTCTGTGTAATCCATTTATTTCAACAAAGTAACTGTAATCCAATTACTCACTGAAACAGTAACTGTAACTGAATAAAGTTACTCATAATTTGTACTTTGATTACGTAACTCCAGTACATGTAATCTGTTACTCCCCAACACTGCTAGCTACATTACACTGCATAATGTATCTGATGTATACAGTTTGAAAGGAAGCAAATATTAACTGACAAAACAATGTCCTCTGTGAAAAACATTTAAATATCCTGTATATTTGTGATCGATTAGTGTCAATCTGATGTCTTCATGTGTTGGAAATATGCACTGTTAACTGAATCACAAACCTTATCTCAATAAAAAATGAAGTGAATTACTCAAACTGATGTCTCTGTTTTGAAAAAAATGCCAATTTTGTTTTTCATGACCATCGTCTACATCAGAGTATTATCAGTGAATAAAATATGTCGGATTTTATCAAGGAGGAATGGAATCGTATTTTGACAGCAGTAAAACAAATTTGGCTTTTGAAAACACTACTTTACAAA